TGACCCACATGTTTGACCATGTGGAATTCAGCTGCCTTAACTGACATACCACTGGCTGGTCCTTACCCTTTCTACTCTGTCAAGATTAGCCCTACTTTGCCACACCTTCTTCATAATATGTAAAACACAGCAAGTTTGGAATTCTTTTTCTCACCATTTATAGCATAAAAAACCTCAAAGGTAAAAGACATTTTTTTTTTTTTTTTTTTTTTTTTTTTTTTATAGCTGAATAATATTCCACAGAGTGTATGTGCCATGAAGAAAGAAGTCACTTCCCAGGGGGATGGCCATGCCACAGTCCCTTCTCCATTTTCCTCTTGAGATTTTGGGCATGCACGCACATGCGCCTGGCGTGAGTTTCAAGCTGTTAGGTCCGGGACTCAAACCACAGTCAACCACGTGAGAGTCCACTGCCATAAACACAATGCTACCTGCTGGCTCCTTTGGTTATCTTTCAAAACATTCCTCACTTAAGAAAAAGCAGGTTGGAGCCAGCAGGTGGTTTGATGTTTAAGGGTGTTGGACTCCCACATGGCCAACTGCAGTTTGAATCCCGGACCTGGAGTCTTGCTTTCTCACTTTCTCTCTCTCTCTGTCTCTGTCAAGCTAAAACAAACAAACAAATAAATAAAACTAAATAAAATAATTCTTAAAAAAAAGAAAAAGAAAAAGCAGGTTGTACAAAGTAAGGGCTTGAAGACACAAGATACATTTAAGAGAGTTTCACAGGCACGTCTGGACAGATCTGGAGAAGACTGTCTTAGAAATAACTTGACTGTCGAGATTATGCCCTGCTGAGGAAAACTTTTTATTTTAGTAGTTTTAATGCGTACAACATATTAAGCCCTTGATTTCCAGGGGTCATGAATTTAAAGAAAACTATAAAGTAATTAAATAATAAAGAGGATAACGTGAAAGTGGTTTGCAAATTATCAAAGTCTGTGAAAGCCTAGGCCATATGATCTCAAAGGCTCCATCTAGCTCTAATACTCTAGAAAAAGAAGACAGTATCATTCTATTTTCATTTCTTTCCAGCCCTCCTTCTGCTGTGCTGACACTGCAGGACTTTACAGTTAATGTATTTGCTGAGACCTTTAAAAGCCCACATTTGGGGGCTAGAAAATGGCATGGTGGTTAAGGTGCTGGACTCCCACATGCCCAACCATGGTTTGTGTCCCAGACCTGGTGGCTTGAAAATCACGTGGGCGTGTATGTGTGCATGCCTAAAACCCCAGGAGGAGAATGGAGAAAAAGAGATTGTGGCGCAGCCATCCCTCTTAGGTGGTGATTTCTAATCACTTTCCCTCTCACTGTATTGCTCTGGGGAGCACCCATGTCCTATGGCAAAACCTAACAATAACAAGAAAACATACGTGTGGGATCCGGATGACTGGATCCCATTTGGCCGACTGTACTTTTGCATTTCAGACCTAGCAGGTGTGCGTGCATGCCCTGAACCCTGAAGGGAGGGAGAGATGGAGAAGGAATTATGGTGAGACCATGCACCGAAGGGAGTGCTTTCTCATTTTCTCTCTCTCTCTCTCTCTCTCTCTCTCTCTCTCCTGTGAGTGCATACATCCTCTACCAAAATTAAAAAAAAAAAAAACAAAAACAAACACATTAATGTGTGGGTGTTAAGAGAAGCTTACAAGTACTGCTTTCTGAAACAATTCTTCCTTCCAGGATACTTTGGGAGATGAGCACAAGAAAATCCCTTCTGTGTTCAGAGATAATCTCTTTGAAGCCAGTGTTTCATTCCTGCAGACAATGACATGGGGCCAGTTACTATTCTTTCCCGTTTTCTTTCTTCAAGCCAATAATTCATCAGGAGTTCACTGTGTCCCACTACAGTGATTTAGTTTTGGCCAGAATCTGAAAGAATCTTGTGTTGCTTGAATTCCTAAAGATAGCAGCAGTGAAACAAAAGACAGTTTCTGAATGAGGCACCCCAGCTTTGTGGGAACTAGTGTGGGGAAATGTGTTGCCTCGAGGACACCAAGACAGGAAATACCAGGATTGAGGTATACTCTCCCACCCCTTGGAACAGTTACTATTCTTTCCCGTTTTCTTTCTTCAAGCCAATAATTCATCAGGAGTTCACTGTGTCCCACTACAGTGATTTAGTTTTGGCCAGAATCTGAAAGAATCTTGTGTTGCTTGAATTCCTAAAGATAGCAGCAGTGAAACAAAAGAAGACAGTTTCTGAATGAGGCACCCCAGCTTTGTGGGAACTAGTGTGGGGAAATGTGTTGCCTCGAGGACACCAAGACAGGAAATACCAGGATTGAGGTATACTCTCCCACCCCTTGGAATGTCCCAATTCTCATTCTGAGCCTTGTGCCTTTGGAAGCTCAGTGGTTGTATCTCCTGGTTATTCCTCTAGTGTACTCACAAGAACAGGTGGTTTTCCTGCTGTCTAATCTTCACACCTCTTCCAACGGACTTATACCTTATGTCTCTCTACTAGACTGTAAGCTTTTGAGGACAGGGATGACATCTTTGTACTTCATAAGTGTTAATGTAATAAAATTATTGTATGATGAAGAATTAAAGTATACACATCATGCACTTGAGGAACTTTCCCTTAATTTAAACAAAATGTTAATTTTACTTATTTTAATTTGACTAGAGAGGGGCAGAGAGAGAGAGAGAAAGTGAGAAGGCAAGCCTCCAGGTCCAGGACTCGAACAGTGATCAGCTATGTGGGAATCCAGTGACCTTAACCACCATGCCATCTGCCAGTCCCCCTTAATTTATTTTTAATTTGCTCTAGGGCATGTGTGCTTGACAGAGAGAAAGAGATAATGAGAAATCACCTCTCAGGGGAGAGGGTCATGCATGTCACAATTACTTTACCATTCTTCTCTTGGGATTTTGGGCATGCATGCACACACACCCAACATGTTTTTTAAGCTGCTGGGTCTGGGACTCCAGCTACACAATTGACCATGTTGGATTCTGCTGCCTTGACCACTAGGCCACCTGACTGGTCCCCTGACTGAATGAACAGTTCTAGGATATCAACTCTCTTGCTTCACCTGTTTTAGTTAGAGACTCACTAATGGATCCTTCCTTTTCTATTGATATTATATCTTCCTATTATTCATCGCTATTGATGTCAAATCACCAGAAATATGTCTTTTCTTTTTAAAAATTAATTTTATTTTAACTTAAGTAACATTTGCATGTATTAAAAATATCTTGCAGGGACCAGCAGGTGACATGGTGGTTAAGGCACTGGACACTCCCACATGGCTGACCATGGTTCAAGTCCTGGACCTGGTGGCTTGCTTTCTCACTTTCTCTCTCTCTCTCTCTGTGTGTGTGTGTCTGGTAAAAATGAAAATAAATGAATGAATAATTAAAATAAAATAATTATTTTTAAAAAAGTTTTTTTTTTTTAAAGTCCTAAAGTAATGGGGTCAGAAGGTGGTACAGTGGTGACACAACTTGTTTTCTTGATTTATTGTGTTGTCAAGTTACTTGATAGCTTCTTAGAAAAGACGAGGTAGGCACCTTGATGGCTTAATGGTTACATCACTGGATTCCCTCATGACAACCGTAGTTTGAGTCTTGGACCCAGTAGCCTGAAACTCATGTCAGGCACATGTGTGTGTGTGCA